GACACAAATTTCATCTCTATGATTTTTCATTTGAAAATTGGACAGCCGGATGCAAAATGACCACTTTATGTCATTTTCCCATACCCAAGCATCCCAAACTGAAGCCTTATGTTATTAGCCATTTTCAAGGGCTTGACCACATCTAATGGGACACATTTCACCTAATTGACGACACACATCAACAATAATGACAACACATATGATTTTGGCCAATTAACTGCCCTATCATACAATAGGGCCTTTTTGCACATAAACTTGCTCACTTGGCCTACACATCATATAAACATTCAAAACATACAACTATGTACTTGCATAAGTATCTTAGCCCTCTTGGCCTCACTTTAAATATAATTACATATATATCCAAATTTGGCTGCAAATATGCTCTTTACACAAACAAGGTCATCTTTCACACTTTTCCACATATTTCACACACATGACCAAATTCCATATCAAATTATACACTTCCACACTTCATGGCTAAGACACACATTCAAGTGCATCAAATATCACATACTTATATGCATTCCTATGACAACTTATGAACATACTTATTTACAACATTATAATTCATTACACAAACCCAGGGCTTCGAGTAGTCTCACTACTCTTTGCCCACTTCTTTTCCCTTGGTACTATCAATCTTAAGACTTGTAAAATATAAATCACAAGATGAGATAAAAATCTCAGTAACCAAGATAATTCAAAGCTATCTATTAAAGAGAATAATTATAAACAAGTAACTAACTTTATTTTCAATTCTCAAAGTATAAGTATATGTGTATATATATTCATTTTTCACCAAATTATTTTCTCACACATATGATCCACCTAAGTCTGTCCATCCTCTGAACATCCTAGACTGAATTTGTAGGTGACTCTGACTATCTCCCAAGAGATTAGTCCTCACCCAAACTTTCATAGGTGAACTACCAGGCCAAGGTATTCAATCCTAGTTTAAGACTATGAATTCCCCCTTCACACATGCTAGGGGTGTCATTGACTCCTAACCATACCCTTACGGGCACTAGGGAGTTGCAAACTTCCTGGATTTTTCATGGTATAGTCCCCTGATTTGCTACACCATGGGTCCCCTGGTGTTAGTTAATCCATATACATTTTTCACGTTTATCTCTTCAATAGGGGTGAACTCCCACCCCTCTATCGCAAATGAAAGAAAATATATGCATATTCAAATTTCTACATATATAAATCAATAGTTTACTTTTAAATCAACTTTCATAATGATTCACTTTCCAAATAAAACCCTTTTCAAAAGCAGAATATGCAAATTTACAATAATGCCATTATTTACAAATTTCACACATCATATCAAACATAGTTACTTACAAACAGTTAATCTAATTAATAGACAAAATAAATTATCTGGTTACCTTAACCTTTCTGTTACTAGAAAGGGTTATCACTGGTACTGCTTATTCTATTAGCCTCCTTTTTCTTAAGTCACACACATGAACCATGCTAACTACACAATTTATCACTATATATCAGTTACCAATTTGACCATAAACACTAGTTATTATAGCTAATCAAAATCAACTACCTAATCACTACCACTTATTGCTCTTAGGTCATAATCATTCTCCTCAAGCCTTCTACTACTTCTTATTAGCTTCTCTATAACCATACACACATTATCACCCTTCTAGTTTCATAATTCAGGTTAACTGAACCTATAACCTCACAGCTCAACTGAAAATCATCAAACTAGTTGCAAAACCTTAATTTAACCTCTAAAAACCTCTTTAATACTTAAAGGTAAGTAAACAAACCCTTAAAACTTTCTGATTTAATTTCTCTATCTTTTAAACTAAGAGAAATTAGTGTATAATAGGAGCTTAAGGCGGTACGAAACTTACCTGAAAAGCGACTAGTCAAAACTAACTCTCAATACTTGTAGATCTCTTGCCCTAGCAGAGGACCTCTATTCCTCTTCTCCTTGGTGCTCCTTTTCCCTTTTTTCCTCTGCCCTCACACACTAATCCATGTCTTAATAATCAAAATTCTGTCCCATGCACCGTGGCACATGGCACAGTGAAAAACTTCTCACTATAGCACACTTGCTTCGTGCTAGATTGCCATTCTTCCACTCAATCCTAGTTATTTAACATCCCAACAAGTCAAAATGTCAGTTCATCATTCAAAATCCTAATTATTCAACCATTCCACTAATTTATCAATTTATCCCTAAATTAACATCTATTGTCAAGATTACGAATTTGGGATATTACAATTTGCACGTGGCATTTGAGCAAGAATGGAGGTGTTTAGCTAGGTTAAAGTTTCTCTCTCTCTAAGGTTTCTCAAACTCCATGAAAGCAGAGCACGTTCTCTCTCTCTCACACCACTCACTCTGTGCATTCGGTAATGAGGAAAAAAGAAGGAAGTGATGTCACTTAATTAACCTTTATTTGCTACTTCCAGGTGTCCACCAAACTTAGCTCCACGTGACCCACAATCAAAGAACAAAAATGAAAAAAAAAAACCTACCCATTATATTTACCCACTCTTAATTAGCAAGTTTTGCATCTGATGGGCTTAATTTAGGCTTATTCATCTTAATATTGTAAAGTCCTGTAGGAAGAAAGATGGTATTTCCAAAAGTCTCTAATATTTCAAGTCTTATAATTAATTCTTTTGGGTATTTTCTAATCACTAATATTAATATAATTCTTTCAAATATTTCTTTCCATCATATTATATTCTAATTTTTCTTTATGCCCCAAAAAAATCCTTATTTATTATCCCATCACTTAAGAATTTCCTTGTTCAAAGGATTACTCTCAGTATCTTCCAAAAATTATTTCTCATATTTGATGAATATCATTATTTAAATATTATTTCTAAATTCTCCATTAATAAGCTTTTTTAAATTTCAGGCATGACACAATGCCCCTTGTTGTCCACTTAAATAGGATTACTAATAACAAACGCGTGTCTCTGTGTGTGTGTGTACATCATGGTATTAAAAACCGGACCGAACCGGTCGGGTCAACCCGGAAACCGGTGAACCGGTCCCCTGTCCGGTCTGGGTTTGCTCTTAACCCGGTGATGAAGTGAACCGGTGTAACCCGGTATAACCCGGATAACCCGGTGGGTTGACTGGGTTAACCGGGTTAATATTTTTTCAGACTTTTACCCCAAAACAACGTCGTTTTTTATTTTTTTTTCATTTTTAATTTTTCAGAGCTCTGAGTTCAAAAAAAAAGATAACAAAAAAAGTAAAATTGAAGTCAAAAAATAAAAAATTAGAGATAGAGCATGCTAAGTCCAAAAATATAATATTTTATTATTGTTAGACTTTTGAGTGGTTGGATTTGGTTGAATGTTTTTATAATTAATATCTTTTTATTTAAATTGTATTATTTTAATCATGATCGGTTTGTCACCGGTTCAACCCCCGGTTCAACCCTGATTGAACTACTAACCCGTGACCCAATGCCATGACCGGTTTAATGACCGGTCCGGTTTTACATACCTTGGTGTACATGCTTTGTGAGTTGGAGTTATTTTCGATATACCCAAATTGAATACTCTAATCTATTATGATTTATTGAATTAGGCTCAATACTTTTCAATATGTATAGTTTTTAATATAACATAAAATTATTTAATATTTACAATATTATTTTGGTTAGGAATTTGTAGTCCATTAATGCTAATCCACAAATATTCCAACAGTTTTAACTTTGGAATTAGTCGAGGATGGATTCGCCTTTATAAAATAATTCTCGTATGTAAGATTATATATATATATATATATATAAAATCCCACGCAATACGTCAAGCAACATCAAACGAGTAAACGATTATATAATATTCCTTGTCCGCTTATTAGCTAGAGTAGATTCTTTTTGAATTGCTATTAATTATAGAATGGAAAGCCATCGTCTTTGGAAAATGTGCATGTGTGAAGACTTAAATGAATGAAACGACTTTGAGTCGCCTGGGTAGATTTTATGACAAATGAAGATTATAAATATAATATTCGAAACTCTGATTCTACAAGCACAGAGCACCACGTGCATTGTCTCCTTTTTCTTGCTTTGCTACTTGCTTGATTGGGAGGTGCAATCACTTTGGACTTAGTCAACCAATTGCTCTCCAATGACAAATAAATGAGCAAATTATTATTATTTTTATGAAATTCTTTTGATATTTTCCCAATTTATTATATCTTCTATAAAATGCAAAATCTTTTGTCGCAAACTTCCAATAATTTTCAGATTCTCAACTTCAAATGATTCATTTCCCGATAAATATATGCACTACTTAGCAGGTAGAGAAATACTATATATTTTCTAATAAGAAAATGAGAAATATGCCTATATAATTTTTTTATATACATTTTTTATTAATTTTTTTAAAATTTTTTTCTCATACCAAACATTGTAGTGTTCATGAAAAAGTGGTACATACATTAAACTAGTAAACGCGTAGCAACATCACATCAAACTAGTTAACTTGGTAGTAAACGTCAGGCTTTTTGAATTGGTCGTCCTCGGAAAATACATGTGTAAAGACATGAATGAATGGAACGACTTGGGTCGTCTAATTTATGAAAGAAGATTCTAAAGTTCACAATGCAAGTGGAAAAGCACATCGTCTGGATCCCACATGCGAGTCTCTCTATCAGATCAGCACATCAAATCAAAGGATTCAATTGGCCATTAATGAAATTGTGCACATCACCATTTTGTTTCATCTTTTGTATTACTCTCATTATTTGAAGATTAAAATGTTTTAGGTAGGTTGCTTGGCTTTATGTTCAATCTTTCACAGAGATTTAAAACAATGGTTAATACGTTGCAAGCGGCTACTCCCCCTCCGGTTCCCTTGCTTTTTATCTCAAGACTCAAGCGTGGCATATCAAAAGCTACTTTCTTTGTTTGGCTTCTGATGACTTGAAAGAATCTGCAATAGGAATAAGCATGACCATATGGATAAATATATTAATATCGAGGGCAAGGAGTAGAGAAACAAAAATAAGTATACACGCTAATAATTCAGCAATATGACCATCTGCTTTTATAGTCTACAACAACCTAAATGACAGCAAAAACATCAATAAACCAAAAAGAAGAAGCCTGCTGGGACTGAAGATGAAGAAGCACGCGCGTTCGAGCCATAAATAAACCAACGGCTAAAAGTTTGTATCTTGTACCTTATTTTCCCTCTAGTATCCAAGATTTTTGACCCAGACTAATCCAGTCAGCTTGCTGGCAACTCTTTAGGGGGCATATATCCAACCAAGAATTTAATTAATCAATGTTGCATATCCTGGGTTCAAACTCAAGATACCTAGTTAAGCTAGACCAACCCTCTAACTAGTTTATCTAAGCAACTGGCAATTGTACATTTACACCAAAAGAACAGAATTTCATCTTGTGCGCCCATCATTGCGAATCAATCTTCAACACTAATCTCCATGCTTTTACACTCTTGAGACCTACCAAGTGTTAGCTCCTCCGCTTTCATTGACATCTCAACCATAGACTCTAGGTCCAACATCACATCACCCATGGGTGGCCGTTCATTCCCATCATCAGATAGGCAGTTCAATGCAATTTTAGTGTATGCCTTTAAGCACTCTGGTGTCATACTTTCCCTCACAAAGGGATCAACCACGAGATGAATCTCACCCACATTAGCACATCTTCTAACCCAATCTACCAAGCTTTGTTGTTGTCTCTCCACTGAACGCAAGATAGGAGGCCTCCCACACAATACCTCTAGCAACACCACTCCAAACGAGTACACATCAGACTTCTCTGTTAATCTTTGGCACATGTAATATTCTGGATCCAAATATCCAATACTTCCTTTCACCATTGTGCTTACATCGATGTTAGATCTCCAGATACCCTCGGGTCCTACTTTAGACAATCCAAAATCTGAAATCTTGGCCATCCATTTTTCATCTAATAAGATGTTTGTCGTCTTGATGTCCCGGTGTATGATAGCATGTTTTGCACCCGTATGCAGATAATGCAATCCTCGCGCTGCACCTAAGCAAATCTCCAACCTTTGATTCCAAGAAAGTGGTTGATTGTTAGAATTGTAAAGATGCTCACAGAGGGTGCCACCAGCCATGAACTCATAGACGAGGATCATCTCATCTCCATCATTGCAATAACCAATGAGAGATACCAAATGAAAGTGACAAAATTGTGAGAGCATTTCTATCTCAGTCTGAAACTCGTCGAGCCCTTGTTGTGAACCTTGTTTGAGTCGTTTTATGGCGACGGGAACCCTACCATCATCAATGAAACCTTTGTACACATTACCGAACCCTCCAACACCCAAAATAAAAATATCATCAAAATTATTAGTGGCTGCTCTTATCTCTTCTATTGAAAAGCAGCGACACAAATCAGATGGAAACGATGATCCCTGGGTTTTGTTGATTTTGGGCATGGCTAATGTTTTCTGTCCCCAACACGAACTCCCTTGGTTGACCGGACCTCTAGCTAATGCCTGGGAAGTAATCAAAACAATAAGAGAAAGCAACACCAAGCTTGAAGCTACCCCCACAGCAATGGAAATTACCCTTGTTTTCGATGGTAATGTGGATGGCAGTAAGGGAGCTGGATGTGGATTGGGACTGGAACCTTCGACATGGTCTCTGAAGTTAATTATCTTTAGAATTTCAATACCGTTCAATAAAACATCTCTGTAAGTGCTTCTTGCATATGGGTGTGGTTGCAACTTGATTGAAAGATTCAGTTTCTTCAAGATTCCTCCACCATGCATGGAAACCACATAGTCCCTGTGGACAGGAACCAGAAGCTGATTACCACTCCACATCATCACATCCGCTACAGGTTCCACCAAAGCATCATCTATGAAGATCTGAAAAACTCTCTCTCCAACACTTTGAATGTGTTCGTCAAACTCACAAAAATGCAATCTTACCATATAATAAAACTCTGAGTCCACTTGAAACTCCCAGGTCACATTAAATTTGGACGTTTCGTTCATCCCATAGTTTCGCATAGTCTGGTACAATACATCTGGTGCAAAATAATTTTGACCATGTTTGTAGGTTAGACTGGAATTGCCAAAAAATGCTGATACACTGTATGGGCATTCCCTCTCCAAGTATGGATTATCTGGGTCCCAATTTCGAAACATGCCAGTATCCTCAATGGGAAGTATCTGCCTCCCACCAACATTGATTCTGTACAGAGTCTCCAGAGCACTGTTGTTCTTGATCGAAAACTTCCGGCCACCAAATAGCAGCATCCCATGTGGGTTGTTTAGGTTGGTGTAATAAAGAAAGGTGGGCATAGAGACGACCTCGATCCCATTGATGAAAGCATAGGCCTTTGGATGAGATAGGCTGGGCATGAAGGTTATGTTTAGCCTGTGACCTGGTTCAACGTTGACGAAGTATTCTTGTAAAATGGTTTCTTGCCCAGCGTGGTCGGCGGCAAGTGAAGTGTTAAAGTTCTTAAGAAGGTAGTGGGATCCTGCTTTGACGGAGAAGAGAGAATCATAATGAAGAAAGCCTTGGTAGGAAGATCGGTGAAAGTGAAGGCGAACAAACTTTGGGCCGTGGGTCACTGGAAATGAGTAAGAGAATTCGAAGTGAGAGAATCGGGCAGTCCCGTAGGGGATTACTTTCCTAACTGGTGCGTGGGCTTTGACTGAGTGGGTAGTGTTGTAGGATTCAATGAGAGAGAACAGTGTAGAGCCAATGTCGCCAGTCCAGTTCCGATGAGTCCACAGAGTATAGCCGAAGTCACCACAGTTAACTGCGAAATGATCGACTGGAGTGTAGGAGGTGGCGCCGGTAGTGGAAAGGATTTGGATGAATAAGAATAATAAAAGGAACCACACAGCCATTGCTAGCCAAGTCTTCACTTGAACAACGTTTTGCTTTATGATGGACTTGTTTTAAAGCTTTATGGAAGGAACAAAGAAAGAGTAAGAGGCAGAGACTATCGACCATACGCGTTTTCAAAGCAGCTTCGATTCTTCGAGACGACTTAGTTTTTTTTTTTTTTTTTGAATGGACGACTTATGTTTTGTTTTTGTTTTTTTCGGCACACATATAACATATTCAAAGTAACCAAATAAAGATACCCCACAGGCGAAAAGGACTCGCTTTTGGACTTTTCAATATAAATTTACTAGATGAGCCTATGTATCATGATCATACAATAAAGCCCTTGTTAACCATAATACAGTGTAAAATATGATTAGCTCTGAAAATATTAAAAAAATTAAAACACAAGCATTAATTTTAATTTTTCTCTGTATTTCTCTTGTTTCACATGCGTACCCAACAACTCTCTCCGTAGTACTAACTTGGACAATCGCACGGGTCATCGTTACACTGTTTAACATTTGGACAACAGGACAAGGTAGGATTGTGTTTTCTTTTCTTTTTTATATTAAGTCAAAAGTTAACATAAACATAATATACTGGAAAAATTCCAGCATTACCCCCAAAAAAAAAAATATCTTCCTGAACAACTTGAAAATGATGTTAAAACTTATGGAGCAAATTATTAATGTCCAAGATGATGGTGTTGAAACTATAACCAAAGAATGCGCTGCAGGAGAAAAATGTTGTTCATGAATGCTATTGATTTGAACTGCAATATTAAAAAGATCATTATGAAAACACAAAAAGTTAATCCACTAAAGAGCACCCCTTAAACAAAGGAAAGAAAACTGAAATGCATCTGAGACTACTTCCTCACAAGCCTTCCATTCATAAATTGAGATTTGAGGCAGATAGCAATATAGTAGAAAAGCTTTCTATCCTTTTTAAATTTCTTGAACCAAATTGTCCACAAATTACCGTGAGCAACACAAGTAGAAAATTTAAAAGATTGTGTTTATAAACTATATAAAAGAATGAAGTTTGGCCTTGAAACAGAAGTGTAAGGATTGATTTATGAAAATTTTAAGTAATCAGTCAAATTCAAAATTCAAATTAATGTAACGTACAAGAATGAAAACTAATTTTTGAAAACCATTTTATGATATGAAATTAAAAATTAAAATGAAAAATTAATATATTGATACAAGATAAACTATATATAAACCACATCCAAAGGAATATAAATTAAATATAACTGAAATAGCTTGGCCAGGAGATAATCTCTGCCGTCACTGAAGCTTGTTCCTTATGTTATTAAAAAATATATATGTTATCATACACAGCATTTTTGTTGATGGAATGTTTCTCTCAATGGTCGTTGGCAGATAAATGTTTCAAATATTGCCAAAAATAATTTCCATTACTTGGAAAAAATTGAATGGAACATAAAACAACTTGATTTAAAAAGTGAAAGTCATATTCATATACTTGATATTTTCCACACACAAAAAGAGAGAGAGAGAGAAGAACCCTCTAGAGAGATGTATAAATGCAAGGGAGAATTTCATTATAGAACCTATTACAAATAAGACCCAATTAAATCTGAATTTTTATTATAGTGTATAAGGACTGATGAAACAAAAAAAAACAAAATTCTTGTTTAAATGAACAAAGTTCCCTTAATAGAAATGAAAAAAGAGATTGTGAATAATTGTTTAACATGACTTGTTAAACGGATAATATGACTTGTCAAATCTCTTACATTACTTGTGAAATACATGTAACTTGTTAAAAATGTTACATCACTTGTTATTTCCTTATGTTACTTGCTAAGTCCATTACATATTTAATTGGGACCTAATAAATTCATAGGTAATGTAAGTCATGTTAAGCATGATTTACATTCTCTATTTTTATTTTTATCAAGGGCATTATGATCATTTTAACCAATAAAATTTATTTCATTTCATTCCTCTTATCCTGTAGTGAAATTTCATATTAGATTGGGCTTCATTTGTAATATTATCACATTCATGGTCCTATAATGAAATTCACCCTAATTGCAATTAAGGCTCAAAGGCTCAAAATTTTCTGAAAAAATATAAAAATCGAACAAATTGACCTCCGGATGCTGACAACTTATCTAAAGGGAAAACTATTAACCAGGCCCTCTAAAAAAGACATAATTATGATTAAGACCCAAAGCTTTCTGAAAAAATCACTCCAAAAACGGAAGAATCTTTATATTTGACAACTTATGTTTTAAATATTGATAAGTTGAAGTTTGAATTTGGAAAATTGTTATTGGATAGGTCTTTGAATAGACAAGTAATTTTTCAAAATTTTGACAACTTGCTAAAAGGAATTGACAACAATACTTTTAAAATAGGGTGAGAGTCATTTTTATGTTTGAACTATACAATAAGGTCACAAATACTCATAAACTCAACTATGGATCAACTCTATCTTTTAACATTAAAGATTCATTTTCTCATCGCCTTGCCATTTTCTCACCATTAATTGATCATTAGTGAGCCCTATATTATTTTTTAATATTTTTTATTATAAAATATTTGAGCTGAGGACAAAAATGACCTTTCACATAATAAAAAATATTAAAAATAGTGAAACCTACTGATGACTAGTGGACACTAAGTGTTTTTAAAGTCAAGGTAAACACGAAGAGAATATTTAAAGTTGAGGGATAGATTTGATCCATAGTTGAGTTTAAGAACATTTGTGACATTTCGTACACAGTTTAGACACAAAAATGATCCTTGACCTCTTTTAAACTTAACAACTTTTATTTAAAAAAAAAAAGGCTTTGAAACTAAATCTATAATATATATATATATATATTATTATGAACAATATGATTAAAAGACATTGTTAATTCAATAATCATCAAAATTTTGGTAAACCAATAAGAGATCATGAGATCATACTCCATCCCCCTTATTACCTAAGTGTTGGTCCTGTAGTTGACTAACGCATAGGATCTCTGGTGGCAGTGTGGTCTTCCCGCCGGCAATGGAGAGTTGGTAGCCACTTGCCATAATAATGGTGGCAAGGTTTCTTTTTAAAAAGAAAACAATGAAAAATGGATATTTTAGTAATTGACATACAAAATGTTATTATAATTGAAGACCTTAGGTTTATACATAATATGAGCAATTTTTAGGTAGATCAAGTACACCACATCATTTGTAATCTATTTAATTAAAATGCTCCAAGTCATCTAAATAAAATCCTATGTGACTTTTAATTAATTTTATTCATATAATAAAATGTATAATTAATTTATTTCCTTTTCTCTCTATATTATCATTGATATTAGAATCAATTTATATTTAATACTATATAAATGTCATGTTTTTATTGGACAAACCACAAATGGCATGGTATTCTAGTCTACCTAAGAATTTCTCGTATTGTATTTTTCATAAAGCTTTGGATCTTAATTGCAATATTTCAAAGGACCCTAATTGATTCTTCTTTTTCCAAAAAAAAAAAACCGTGATCAAAATTTAACCCCAAGAGTCTAAAACATATATTTATAAAAAAAAAAGGTTTATATTAAGCAATCCCATTTTCTGCACAAAATGCACAAAGGCAAAACTATAGGTTAGATTTTTTTTTATGAAAATGAAGGAATATTAAAATAAATAATATGCCAAATAAAAGAGTTAGGTTAGAGACTCACCAAATTCAGGGGTAGAAGAGTCTACCCGACTACCCCCACGAGTTTGAACTACTAGAGTCTAGACTATAGTGCACAGTAAATGCACCAAAGAGAAAGAGAGGGAGAGGAAGAGTGAACTAGAGAATTGTTTGCTCTAAGATGGATTCTACCTCCAGCCTTTGATCACTATTTCCCTCTATATAAAAGGAAGATCCAATCAACATTAATTCACCTCATTTTAGAGGAAATATGCTGCTTGGAATAATTGTAATATCCTCACTAACATTACCATACAACCTCCCAGTCAATCTACTATTTCATTCAAAACCATTTATTTAGAAGGTTTGGGATCCCAAATGAAACATTTTCAAAATCATTTGATAATATATTTGAGTTGTAAAATATTACATAGCGAAAGCATTGTGCAATAGCACCTCATGATCAACTAGAAAACATATTCCAAATCAACCAATTCAAGCTAAATTAGGGCCCATGCGCCGCGACTCGTGCCACATGCATCGCGGCATGTGGCATAGAGACCTCAGCGTCACTCTCTGTAACGTATGCCGCAATATGATTTCATGCATAAAAACTTCACAAAACAATAATACATTTACTTTTACATAATTATATGAGTTAATAAACATAACAAACTATATAGTTACCTCAACCCTTCTGTCTAATAGAAAGGGTTACCCATGTTCCATAACCCTATTCAAGCTTCTTTAGCTATTCAACTCATCATACTCGAGAATCTACACAATTTTGGCACCCAGAGTTAATGAGTACTCCATCGACTAAAAGTGCCAACTACAGCAATTTAACACCTAATCACTACCATTTCTACTATTCATACTCATTCACACATACTATAATCGATTACCACTCAAGTTTCCTTTCTCTACTTACATGTCGAATATGCTAATCTGAACACATTTGGCACATTTCAGTCATTTGGTCTATTTTGACCAAAAAATCATATTAACTACTTAGGGCTATATTCATTCATAAACTCTTTTCCATTTATCCATTCTAAGTCCATTACTACTTGATTACTACTTTACATCAACTCAATCGGTCTTATTTCACTTAAACACAATTTCTGCCCTGATCTCTCTCTAAGGGTCAAATTGAGCTTACGGGTTCAAAGCTCTACTGTTCAGCTTTAAACCAATCGCAAAGCTCTAATTAACTTCCGAAAACATTTTTATTACTATTAGGTAAGAATCAAACCCCTCAAATTTCACCAATTCAATTTATCTATAACTCATTTTCAAAGTAATTTGTGTATAATGGAAGGTAAGAGTTATACGTAGCTTACCTGATAAGTTATCGATCAGAAGC